TGAATGATGTTCTCTCGAGTCCCCGCTCACTCGAGAACGATGATTCAGCCACGGTGACTTCAGGGCTACTTGTGTATGAACCCTCGGCAACATTTCCCACGTTTCACCCGTTTCTCAGGGTCACTGTGTCCTCTGGATGTTTCCAACAGCGTGTCCTTCTCACCCCGTGGTTCTGATACCTCCCCGAACCCTCCTAAGACGATCATTATTTTCTGTCTTCTGCTTGCAAAGTCCTCCAATGTGCATGTCTGCTAGTTGTTTGCTCTCCAACACGCCTAGTAACTGCTGGCCAGACACCGACCCCTGCCCCCCATCCCCCCAGGGACTGGCCCGGCCGTCTGCTGTCATTCAAGGGCAGGTCCTGGTTCTGACCCAGCTGCTAATGAGGACTCTGAGCTCTCTCTGGGCCTCCCTAGGACCACACTGACCTCAGCGGCCGTGTCTGCCGCCTCCGTTCCGAGTCCGCAGAGGAGCGGCCCAGCTGGGCGCCCGGTGTGCTCACAGCGGAGCCCCACAGATTGCGTCTCCGAAGCAATTATATTTCTAAACATGTTCAAAGTTATTTTCAACCTTTTGTCATCCTCTCTGGTTTGCACTGCACAAAGACTATTTTAAACCTTTTCTTTCTTTATTAACGTTGGAAATGTAGAAAGGACACTTCCTGCGAGTTGTGAAGGGAAGGGAGGGGCCCTGCCCCTGGAGAGAAGGCTGTGGGCCCAGGGGCAGGGGGGAGGAGGCCGCTGGCCAGGCGGGTCCCAGCCCCGCCGCCCTCCCTGCCGTCCCCCCGGGCGTCCACTGCCTCAGGCAGAGGGAGCACCTTGTCTGACCTACAAAGGGAAGCGAGGGTTTCAGTCCGTGTCCTGCTCTGTGCCCTGCGGGACCAATGCCGCCCTGTCTGGGCCCCCCGCGGCTCTGAGCCCCAAGCCGGCAGCAGCTCCCTGGCTCCTGGGACCCCCACACCCACTCACTGCTCACCCGATTCCTGACCACAAGGGAGTATCTTCCTCCACATGGTCTTTAAGAAGCTCCAGGTGTGCCTTCCCTCCCTTTCTCTTCCAGGTACACACGCTTTAATTGGCCGGATGGAAAAGGCGGAGGAATTGGGAGTCCGGGGATGTCAGGTACAGCACAGGGAATATAGTCAATAACGTTGTGGTGACGGTGCACAGGGCTGGGTGGGTCCTGGAAGTATCAGGGGACATTTGTAAGCGACACGCTTGTCCTCTGCCTTCTGCGCTTCTCCGTCCCCGGCGAACCCTCCACGCTCCCCTGGGGGCTCTTCCCCAGGTGCCCAGCTCCTCCCTGGTGGCTCATCTCTCCTGCGTCCAGCGTGGGCGGGACAAGGACGCTGCGCCCAGGACGTGGAGGGTGTTTGCAGAGGGGGTGACGGGAGCCCCGGGACCCGGGGGGGTGGGGCGTGGGAACCAGCGAGGGGGGGGTCTGGGGACACGATTTACAGGAACTGAGATTTGACAGGTTCCACTGGACTTATTTCTGTGTGGTTACTTTTGTGTCTAAACATCGCCTGTTTTTATTTCTTTTGTTGTTGTTTCTGAGAAATCCTTTTTATTTAATTTTTTAAATATGTTTTTATTGATATTTTAGAGGGAGAGGAAAGGGGAGGGGGAGATTGGTAGAAACATCCATGTGAGAGGGAAACATCCATCGGCCGCCTCCTGCACGCCCCCCGCTGGGGATCGAGCCAGAAACACGGGCATGTGCCCTGACTGGGAATCGAACCGGTGACCTCTTGGTGGGTGGGATGATGCTCAGTCCACTGAGCCACACCAGCCGGGGGAGGAATCTTTTTTAATTGAGGTAAAATTTTCATGCAAATTCACAAATCTTAAGGACCCATTTTTTAATACTTAATTTTTTTTAGAGCAGTTTTGGCTTTAAAAGAAAATCAAGAGGGAGGTACGGACAGCCCCAAATCTCACAGGTGTCCAGTCTGGACCCCTGTTATTGAATCAGCAAACAGGTAGGGCCGTGATGTCCCTGAGAAACACTGTTGGTGCTGGAAATCAAGACACAGAAGTAGCTGCCTTCAACGTGAGTGCCCCGAGGTTCTCCAGCAGAGAAGAGCGGTCCCAGGGAGAGTGGCCCCTGAGAACGTTGCTGGCTGTTCACCCACAGGTGTGGACAGAGCGAGCTCGGGTGGAGACGCAGGGCACAGACACAGTGTCTCATGATGAAGAAACGGCCCTGACGCTGGCCCGGGTGTCCGGGGATGTCAGGCTGGCCCGGGTGAGCCCTAACTGCACCACGGCCGCGAACGGGGCTCTGAGTCGTGCGCTCGCGACGCTTCGGGGCGTGTCCACACCCCGTTGATTAGTGTGGGAGCAAAGGACTTTGCACGTAAATAATCAATACTTCTAACACTTCACGTGTAAATTAAAAAAAGAAATTAAAATGTCAATTTAATAACATTTGGAGCCCAGAAGCTTTTCTTGCATGGAAGTCAGGGTTCCTAAGAAACAGCCGAGCGCTGTTGGCTGCACTATATTTGTCCGCATGCCTCACAGTCTCCGAACACGATGTTTTATTTATGGAGCGCTATATAAAACTCTGAAAACTGAACAAAAACAAACAGCGATGGTTTGCCTTTGAGTCATGAGAGTTCAGCGCGTCACCGAACCTTCTCACACGGGGGGTGGGGGGGGGGGCAGGTGGCCCTGTGGCCATCGAGCCTTTGGAGGGGTGAGACTGTGCCCCTGCGGCTGCCAGGTTCGGCGGGAGGTGTCCCTCGGGTGTGGGGATAATGTTTCTGGCTCCTGGGCCCTGGATCTATGACCATGAAACCCGGAACACCTGGGACATCGAGGGGCCGCGGGACGAGGTGGAGCAGCAGCGGAGTCTGCGAGGAGCCTCGGCCAGCCCGGTGGCTCTCAGGAGAGCTCTCTCCAGCCATCTTCCTCGCGGGAGTTCTGGGCAAACCCGGGACCGGACGACTCGAGCCCGAGGGAGCTTTCCCTCCGTGGCCTCTGTCCTCGGGGTTCTCATTATTTCTGAGACCCTGGAAAGTCCAGAGACCTGCACACAAGGGCCCAAGTCGCCCCGGTTTCCACCAGCGCCGCCGTCCGTCTAGTCCGGGAACGCAGGCCGACGCAGGGCTGGGAGGGCCTGGGAGCCAGCGTCAGCCAGCAGTTCCCCAAGGAAACCAGCCCTCGCGGGGAGCAGAAGTGCTTCCCAGGGCGCTCCGTCTGTGCGGGGCGGGGGTCTGGACCCCTGCTTCATGCCCCCCCAAACACCCTTCTCTGCCTCCACCGCCCTTTGAAATTTAGGGAATAACAGTGGACAGACACATGCGGACTGTGGGGAACGCAGAGACCCTGAGCGCTGTACACGGACCTCCACAGATTCCGAAACAGGCCGGCTCCTTCACGCCGGAACTGCAGTCCCAGTTCAACCAGCAACAGCACACGCCGTGGGCGCCAACACCTCATTCCGTGTCTCTTCCTCCTCGCTGCCTCCTGGGATCGCCCCGCAGACCTGGGAAGTGGGGTGCCTCCCTTCGCCGCTGTGTCTCGGGCTCGTCCACCCCAGTGAGGACGGTACTGCCTCCCAGACTGTGCCAATCCCACCGGCGCTCACAGGAGCAGTGCCCCCAAGTGCTGTCTCCTGTCCCACCTCCCTCGCAACCTCCTGTGCGACAGCCTGAGACAGACGCCTTCCCCTTGGAAAGGGGCAGTTTTTATGCCAATCTTGCCATTTTTTAAATATGTTTTTACTGATATTTTTTAGAGAGAGAGAGAAAGATCTATGGGAGAGAGAAACATGGATCAGCTGCCTCCTGCACGCCCCCTACTGGGGATTGAGCTGCGCCCCAGGCATGTGCCCTGGGAAGCAAACCCGACCTCTCAGTCCCTGGGACGAGGTTCAATCCACTGAGCCACACCGGCTGGGCCCAATCTTTTCATTTAAGATCCAAAATAAATTTATTTTAAAATCTGAAAGTTAATATTGATTTAGATGCTTAACATATCTTTACATTTCTTTCGTGACAGTTATTGGGGACCAGCACCTGGGTCCGGTTAGGAAGAGGATAAACCGCACTGGGGCTGGCGGACACGCCAGGGATGACCAGTGGAGGACACACAGGGGTGACCAGTGGCGGACACGCCAGGGGTGACCAGTGGTGGACACACCAGGGATGACCAGTGGAGGACACGCCAGGGGTGACCAGTGGTGGACACGCCAGGGGTGACCAGTGGCAGACACGCCAGGGGTGACCAGTGGAGGACACGCCAGGGGTGACCAGTGGTGGACACGCCAGGGGTGACCAGTGGCAGACACGCCAGGGGTGACCAGTGGAGGACACGCCAGGGGTGACCAGTGGAGGACACGCCAGGGATGACCAGTGGAGGACACGCCAGGGGTGACCAGTGGTGGACACGCCAGGGGTGACCAGTGGAGGACACGCCAGGGGTGACCAGTGGAGGACACGCCAGGGGTGACCAGTGGAGGACACGCCAGGGATGACCAGGCGGTGGACCCTTGCTCGCTGTCAGCACGTGGAAATCAGGAATTGCTGAGAACACGTGACTTGTCAGCAAAGCTCAGACTTTCGAAGCCCACGTCCGGTCACCGCCCAGCCGTCCGACGGCAGCCACACCAACAGAGGTCAGACACCCTGCACCGAAGGGGACACGCTTCTCATTGTGCGTTAACATTTGCATAGAGCACGTGAATTAAACTTTTATAAAGCTGCGTTTACCGTCTCTGCTTAAATATTGCGTCTAAATGTCGGACCACCCTACTGGGGCGCACCTGGCCACGCCGCGGGTCTCAGCCCAGCGGAATCCCAGGTGAGCACAAGGTCCTGGGCCCAGAGGCTGCGCCTGGGGTGGGCTCACGCAGCTGGACAGGTGCCGGCACGAGAACAGTGCTGAGCGAGCTCAGATAGTCCAGAGGCTGAGCTCGGGGGTCCCTGCGGACACAGCCCTGCCACCGGCTGTGTCAGCCCAATGGAGGAAAAGTCTGAGACTCACAGCAGGAGACACCCGCCTGGGAAGAGGTTTGGAGGCTGGTCGTCCGGATGCTCCCGCAGCTGCAACGCCCCCTCTGCAGGTGTGCGGTTTCCTCCCGACGGTTAGCAGAGGGCAGGGCTCCAGTGGGGCCACAGGTGGAGTGTCCATGGTCTCCGGTCCCCTCATCGCTTCTTCCTGAACAGTCAGCTGACTTCGCCTGTCGCGTCCTCCTGGACCGCACGGGAAGAAACAAAAGCTGCAGATTCTGACATTTCAAACAGTTTCCACACCAGACTCACTTTTGAGAAGGATGTATCCAAAAATAGCCCCAAGTGCTCAGTGCCCACACGCTGAAAGCAGACTCCACGTGGCAGCCAGGACCACGGGCCGGGGGCTCCCGCAAAGCGCAGGCCCAGGGACAACCCTCCTCGAAACAGCGGACGAGCAGAGGGAGGCGAGAAGGGTGCGCAGGGCTCCCACCGGGCAAGTCCTCGGATGTCTGCTCAGCCTGGGAGCAGGTGTGCGGCCCCCAGGACACCCACAGCTGAGCAGAGAAACAGGAAATTAAAACAACCGTGTTCTGGTTCTGCTTCCCCACCTTGTATCATTGCAAAGGGGAAGAGAGACGGAGCCATCAAAGTTCACAGGAAAAAGTTAAGACTCCTGCTATGCAGGGCCGGTAGATTTCTTTTTCTTTCTTTTAAGTAAGTTAATCAAACTTTTAAAATGCTCATGGTATGGAATTCGAAAGGCACAAAGCAGTGTGATAAGAAGCTCTCCTAACCCCACCGTCCACAGGCCCAGCCATGTCCACACTACCCACGGGCCCAGCCACGTCCACAGCGACTGGGTACTGTGTCTTTTACCGTCTTTTTAGCTGGTCTGCGCTGCTGAATCTCAAGTCCAACAAGAGCACCATCTCTGCTTTGCCCTGGTCTAAACTATATGAATCAGGACTCCCCACCTAGATTACCCTGAAACACGCAAACGTTTTCTTTCTCAGAGATCTCCTCCTCCGACTTACGGTCGAGAACTCCTGAACAAGACGGAGCTGGTGACCTCGCCTGCCGTTGATTAAAGCTCAGCCCCGTTGCTCGGTGCCCTTGGAGAACGACTTCCTTAGGACGTTTGAAGTGCCAAGTCCAATCTGAAACAGAATTCCGAATCTTAATCACCTTTCATAATTAGCACGTGCGGCAGAGTGAGCATGACGAGCCCGCATCGCGTGAGGTCAAGCCCAGCAACGCCGGCTGGGCAGGGCGGGCTGGCCTCTCTCCAGCCGCCTGCACACCCGGGCGGCTGTTTACATCTTCGTGCTTTTCTTGTCACTCGCTGAGCCACCACGGGAAGATGGAGAGTCCTCACCCCGGGGGTGCAGCAGCCGTCTGGCCTGAGGCCAAGAGAGTGGCCGTGGTCTGCCACACAGCGCCGGCTGGAATTCTGCCTTTATTTGGGAACCAGGGGAGAACGCAAGTGAGCGCGTAAGGCGAATGGAAGCTAAGAATGTCGGTCTCGACGAGAACCTCGCAGTTGTGTTGAGTTTGCGTTCGGGTGGCAAAGGGTCTTCCCTTCACTGGTGTCAGTGGGGAAGCTCCTGGAGCCCTCGCGTCCCGGGCTGTCCGTGGGCTGACACGCTCGGCAGACGTCTCGTGCTGCGGCCCACGGCTGTGTAGCCGTGCTCCGAACATGGACATATAAGGGAGCAGACACCCCAGCCGTGTGTGAGCCCGCCACTCGGCGGTGGTTCACCCCGGGCCCTGCGCAAACTCGTCCTCACGTTGCGGTGTCACCGGCCGGTCTTTCTGTGAAAGGGGAGCTTTCACCCGAGAGTCAGTGTTTATTCCTGCCCCTTGGAACAGGCTCTTCCTCCTTGTCTGCTGATAGCAGACGTGCAGGCCTCTGGCTGCCGCTCTGTCCTGGCAACAGCACAGAAGCTGGGTTTCCGCTCACGGCACCACCATTGCAGCCGCGACTCAGGTCTTCCCGACGCATCACTCAACTTGGAGGTTCACCTTTCCTAAAAGCACTTGACGCTGATAAGTGGCCGCAGGAAGCCTGAATGTGGAGGGTACAAACCCAACGGCAGGCACTGGGGCGCTGTCCCCTCTGACTCACCCACGCACGGCTCGCGGGACGAGACAGCATGGCGGCCGCGCGCAGAGCTGCGAGGAGCCAGCGTGGGTGCGTCCTGTGCAGGCAGGGCCCCCGGGCCAGGAGGGGGTCCACACTGCCAAGGTCCCCCCACGAATCCAGCTGCCCGCAGGGCTGAGCAGCAGGCTCTGGTCCTTATTCCGTCACGTAAACGTGTCAGTTACACTAGAGCCTCGCACTCCCCTCTCGGTGGGCGGCCGGCTCTGACTGCGCAACGCAAGGTAATTCCGTTGGAAAGTGAAAGGCCCCACTTCCTCGGGTGACGGTGCGTCAGCAAACTGCACGCTGAATGTGCGTGGAGCATGGACGGGCCCTCGGAGATCTCGCATCCGGCCCACTTCACCTCTGAGGGCGCAGGGGCCAAGGGCGGCCGTCCCTCACCTGGCCGCAGGCTGGCCCAGGGCCCTTCCTGGGTGCGGTGACCTCTGACATTTCGGGGTTGGTCCCTGGCCTGCCCAGGCTCCACCCCAACCCTCACCTGACGGCTCAGCTGGACAAGTTCAGCTGCCACTGATCAGGAGTTAATGTTTCTATCGACTTCAGCCAGGCTGACCCGTGGTGGTTTGGGACCATCCAGGGTTTCCCAGCTGCTGTAGGTCCATTTCCCAGGGTGCACTGGGACCAGGGTGGGCGGGGCACGCACCATCCTGGGCACAACCCCCACCTGCTCTCGGGTCCGAGGCCCCCCGCGCCCCGAGACACCGTCAGGAGCAGGTGCCTGCGCGCGACGTTAAGCGTGTGGTGTCTCGCTGGCCGTCCCCATCAAAGAGAAACTTCCTCTGGCAGATGAGCCGCTATTTTTATTAATTAGGTCCTTTTAAATAATTGATCTGGACGACGGTTATAACTCTATTTAAGTGGCTTTTTATGTGAGGGTAGCACTTTCAATATCACCTGGGTAAGTGGTTTTGATTTGAAAAGAACCAAAACCTAAAATTTCCCATCTTGGCCATTAGACTGATCTATTCAATCATTTGGAGACATTTATAGTCTCGAACGCTCACTGCGCGTGGGGTCGTCGAGAGGAACGAGCCTGTGTCCTGCTGGTCACACGCTGACATCTGCAGGGGAGGCTTTTCCGGCGAAACGCCCGTCGCAGGCCTCAGCCAGCGTCCGACCGGGCTTCCCGGGCGGTGCCCGCGTGTGGCGCGGACCACGCCCGGTGCCCCCGAGCCCACGCAGGCGCCCATCCTCCGGAACCGACCTTCCTTCCCGGGGTTAACGGCCTTTCGGCTGCTTCTTGCAGAAACGTACTCAGGTTTACATTTGAAGGCACTGAATGACCTCAGTGTGTGTGCGAAAAATAATTATTTTTCCTTGTTTCTCCTCAAGTCAAAGATATTCTTCTCACAAAGCCCAAGGGGAACATCAAGTCCGTCTTAAACAAATGCACTTCTCGGAAGCTCAGATGCAAACCCGTAGCCCCTTCCAGAGCCTGAGGCTCAGGCACCTCCGGGGCAGGAGGGCCTGGGAGGGACCAGGCCACCAGCCGGCCCGGCCCAGCCGCAGCGGTGGGTGGGCTGCCGCCGGGCCCTCATGTGTTTTCAATTTGGGGAACAGAACTGCACGGTGCAGGCTATAAATACATGTGACCTTGACCTCTCTGCTCAGCATTCCATGTCTCTGGACACCCTCCGTGTAAACAGTGGTTGTTTCGAGAGCTTCCCAGGGAGAAGCAGGTTCCACCTGGCTCCAGACCAGGGAAATAGCAGCCCTCAGGCTGGTCACCTGGCCTGGGGACAGAGGAGGTGAGTGGGGGCCCCCCGACCCTGGGCCTCCGCCAGCACTTGGTTCACTTTCTGTGGTGTTGGGCTCACGGGGTGGAGAGCTGTTAGCTTCCAGAGGCACTGGGTGCTCCAGCCAGTGCATGTGCTCAGAGGAGCCAACGCCAGCCCTTGCTGACTCGAACCTCGGCGCCTGGTCCTCCTGCTGCTGGTCTCTGTCCTTCTGGATTAAACTCCAGACGTCCTCCAGCGCCGGGCCCGCGTCGTCCTCTGCAGGGAGCAGCCTGGTGCGGGCCCTGAAGCCACCGGGGTGGACACAGCCACGACCCCGCTGCTCCCCTGGTGCTCCCCCGGGACTCCCCCCGGGGCTCCCCCCTTGAAAGCCGCTCGCCCTCGATGCACAGAGCGAGTCACTCCGTCACCCGCCCCTGCGACACCCTCCCTCGACAAAGTGACCTCCTGTCCTTCCCACATGTTGTTGGACTCAGGGCCGTCTCGATGCTGCCGTGCTCCTCACGGAGACACGAGGACTGGACCTTCGTGCAGCGAAGGGGTCGGAGGAGCGCAGCCGGGCTGCTGACAGGCCCGGCCCCACCGCGAACACAAACGCCGCCTTCCCGGGCCGCTGGCCTGCGTCTCCCCAGCATGTCAGCACGGACACGGTGGCATCGGTCTGTCCCCATCCTTCTCCCTGGAGAGCACGCTCCCCGAGCAAGGCTGCTCCCTCTGCTCACGCTCGAGGTCCAGAACCTACGACGGCGCTCGCTCTCCCGGCCCTGCACCCAGACCTGCTGAGCGGGCGAGCGATGCTCCAGCTGATCGCGCAGTCACAGCCGCGGAGAAGCCCGGGCAGGGCTGACGTCTCTGCCTCCATCACACTGGGAGTCTGTTCCCTCCCATCTGCTGTCACACCCGAGCCTGACCACCGCTGTCTGCGAGGACGTTTGTCCCTACGCTCTGACCTACTGACCCCAGCATCGCCAGCCACGCGGGTCACTGAGCCGAGCTCCCCCTGCGTCTCGTCCAGTCGGTGGGATGAAGGCAGTGACCGGAACACCGAGGGGCGGACGTCAGTCCCAGCTGCCATACTGTTCTCGTTTACAAATGAGAGGAGGCTCCTGTCAGTTTAAGCAGAAAAGTAACACGTCAAAGTGTGGGTGGTAGAAGGATCCCCCCGAGTCCGTCTCTTGCTCCAGCTACAGCGGAGGGGGGTGCTCTCAGAGGTGCCCCCGGCCACTCGGCCTCGGGGAACCAGGCCTGGCTGTCTCCCCAGGTGTCACCCAGGCCTGACGAGCCGACGTCAGGCGCCTACAGTCCGTGATGGGCACACAGACACGCCTCCCCAGCACCCGACAGGCTGTGGTCACTAGGTCACCGCAGTGACTGCTTCTGGACCGGGCGGTCCCCACCCGACCACGTCCCTCGTCCTCCGTCAGAAATGCACCATCAGGAGGCGGCCACGGTGCTAAGTGTGGATCGGGGTGAGCTAAGACCAAAACCTGCCCAACAATCCTATTACCTGTTGTTAAATTATGGCGAAAGGTGTCTGGGGACCAGCATCCCTGGCCACCCCCTCCTGGGACTGAAGGAAATAAAGCTGAACATTTTGGGGTGATTAGAACTTTAATAAAAGTGCAAAGAATTTTATTTATTTATTTATTTTTTTAATCCTCACTGGAGGACACTTTTCCATTTTTTGTTCAGGTAGAGCGGGAGGGAGACAGAGGAACAGAGAGAGAGAGAGAAACATCGACGTGAAAGGGACACATCGAGTGGCTGCCACCTGCACAACCGACCAGGGCCAGGAACAAACTGCAACCGAGGTATGCGCCCTTAGCGGGAACCGAACCCGGGTCTCTCAGGACCGCAGGCCGACGCTCTAACTGCTGAGCCAAACCGGCCAGGGCTAAAAATGCAAAAAATTTTAAAAATACCTTCCTGGAGGCTGCGTTCTCTGTGGTCAGAATACCTCTGGGTCATCGACTGCTGGAGAGAGCCCATCAGACACCACAGAGCCGGGTTCAGAGGTGAGCCGGTCAGACCGGCGACCGGCCGGTTCCTGCTGGTGGAAGTCCGTGAGCGTGGCAAGGACACCGGGGTCACAGGTTAAAACACGCAGTTGCCCTTCGGGTTGGGATTTTGCATCGCGGCTCAAGATTCCACACTGGACCTCGTGGGAACCGGGCAGAGATCATTCTTCACTTCTGCCTGCTCCCAGCCCCGCAAGAGTCCTGCCATCGCTCGTTACTTTGCAAGAAGAGGTGACATTTCTGCTGAGAACGATGCTTTGGGTGACCACCATCTGAAATGAAATCGGAAAGGAAAGCAAAGCCTGGTCCCTGGACCATCGGACGTTGTCACATCCCCCGGGAACCAATTCCCATTGTCAAACCCACAGAATCACACCGGCAATTATGAGTGCGAGTAACTAATGTACTTTTAATTCTATTACTTTGACATTTTTATGTGCTCATTTAAGGAGATCATTTAGCCTCTAGTGGAGGAAAATCTTGTGTCAGAGACACATTCTCCAACGAAACGGTCGATCTCATTGCACGTGGGTCTCCAACCAGATTCTGAGTCACTACTTGCCAAGGAAAAATACTGATCTCTAGATAAGCAAGAAAATTTCATTAGAAACCCTCAGGCAAAATAAACAAGTTGAATATAAAGTATTCAGAGTTTATGGGAAGCGAGAGAGACAGAGAGAGGGAGAACTGATCCTATGTCTCCGTCTACGTGAGATGTGTAAGAACAAACTCTCAGAAACCCCTCAAAGGACAGGAGAGTCCTGATCCTTTGAGAAATACTCTCCTGATGAGTATTTCTTTCAGCAAAAATGTGTCTGTTGCTATTGGTATTGTTTAACAAAATACAAAAAGAAATAGTACACCATATTGTACTTTTAGATATATGTTAGTGAAGGTTAGACATTGACAATAAATAAGTGTTTATGTCATTTAAAAAATTCAGGAGGACAAAATGCTACGAGCAGAGGAGAGGCTGCTATGAAGCCCCAGACTGGGGTCTCTGTTCAGCAGACAGACGAGCGGCTGCTACCCAGGCCCCTGTGCCCGAGGAGGAGGCCAGCGGCCCGCAGCGCCCGGGGGGCCCGGGGCACAGGGCACCGCTTAGCAGCAGGTGCACCTGCTGCTCCACAACCGTGTCTCAGGAAACCGCGCGTCTGTGAGCATCTCCGGGGCGGGCGCCTCAGCACAGACCTGCACTGTCCCCTTTTATTAGGAACCCAAACGCTTCCAATATTTTTAGTGTAATGTCAAGCAGAAGCCCAGGTTAGATGTGAGCGCAGACTTGTTCTGGGCGAAGTATGTCAGGGACCAAAAACGGACGCACAGACTCTGACTCGGGAGCAACCCGGTGTTGATGCCAAGGACACGCCCCGTGATTCCACGGATCAGAGGGACACTTTCACGCTGGACGTGTCAGCCCAAGTCCTGCGATGCAAACAGAGCTGTCCTTGGTGAAGGCCACACGGGGCCCATGGAGATGTGTGTCAGGAGGAACCGCCACCAACGTCCACAGGGCGGCCCCAGGTCACAGAGATGCTCAGAGGTGGGTGGCAGGTGAGTTCTCTCCTTACACGGCCGGAAGCGCCTCTGTGGCCTGAGCCCCTGGACAATCACTGTCCACACACAGCCAGCGGCCACGCCAGGCCGCCCGGCTCAGCCGCCCCGGGCACAAGCCTGCCGGCCTGGGCCGCACACCCGGCCTGGGCTCCGGTCACGGCTGCAGCGCGGCGGGATCCGAGGAGGAACGCGTGTGGCTGGGTTTTCACTGGGGAGAAGCACAGAGGGCACCGGTGCGACCTACGACGGGCTCCCCAGAGGCGCACAGACCCCCACGCCCTTCCTGCAGCTTCTCCGGACCCAGCAGGGAGAAGGCCCAGGTCGGGACAGAGAGACACAGGTGGTGGCTACCACCCCAGAAGGCGCCGCGCGGAGGAGTCCTGCACTGAGATCAGTGGGCCTGGGAGCGGGGGGCCCGGGAGCCCCGTGTTTCCCTGTAGCTCATCCATCTCTCTGAATAATCACGACATTCAACATCCCCTGCTCATTCCCATGGCCCAGGAGGGCGCAGACAGCGCCCGGCACAGCGCCCCCTCCCGGGCAACTAGCGCCCACACATCGCTCTTCCGCCTCACAGGTCCTCACCTGCCTGTTCCCCCAGTCCCAGCTCTGGGTTTCGGGATGTGAACCTCCCCCTGAGGATGGCGGGGCTCCTCCAAGTTGCACGTTGACCCGAGTCGTGAAGAGCAGGCCAGGGCTCCCGCAGAGACGGCCCAGGGCACAGGTCCTCCGGGGGACACCCCACCTGAGATCCGGGAGCAAAGCCCCGGCCGAGGCCTCCAGCGTGTGGCCAGGACCGATGTCCGCAGACTGAGGCCGGCTCTGTGTGACCCCGTGTGTACCTGCGTGTGCTGTTCACCTGTGTGTGAGTGTGCGTTGTACGTGTGCACTTTTAAGCCACTTTTGATTTGTGTTACTTATTACAAGACTCATTGCTGAGTCCTTTCCAGCTTTTGGATCAGCTGTCGTCCCAGGAACGAGCCTGGGGAGGTGTAGACAGAGTGTATGCGCGTCAACCTCCAGAACAGAAATGCGCAGGCCAGACGCAGGCATGCGGGGAAGACGGGATCAAAGAGACACGACGCGGAGAGTGGAGGCAGGTGCCGGTACCTGTGACGCAGGTGAGAGTCAGGTGCGCGCGTCAGGTGTGCGCGTGACATTTGTGGCGGAACCAATGGAGAGCAAAGTGCAGAAACAATTGTGTTTGTATTGGACGGAGGGGGGGACGCTGGGGAGGAAGCAGGGAGTAATTCCTCACCTTTCACAGATCAACACACATTATTCAAAACTGTCTAACTTTTGAAATAATGTAAACTGCCTGGCGGGTGGGGCTCAGTGGTTGAGCGTCGACCCTGCACCAAGAGGTCGCTGGTTTGATTCCCGGTCTGGGCACATGCCCAGGTGGTGGGCCCATCCCCAGTGGGGGGCGTGCAGGAGGAGCCAATCGATGTTCTCTCTCATCCATGTTTCTATCTCTCCCTCTCCCTTCCTCTCTCTCTAAAACCAATAAAGAAAAATAAATGAATAAATAAATAAAATAATGTAAACTGTTCTTCTAACCTTTAATGCGCATGAGAATCACCTGAAGGTTCTGGGTGTGGGGGCTGCACGCTGAGGTCCAGCAGCCAGGGTGCCGGGCTGGGACCGGACTCGAGCACCGAGGTCCCCAGGGCGTCACCAGCACCGGGTGCAGGGTCAGAGCTGGAAGGCCCCCCAGTCACGTGTGGAAGTGAGCAGAGTCTGAGCAAGTGCCCTGGACCCAACCCCTGGGAAGTGCGGGGAACCCCAGATCGGGATCACAGTGACGGCCCCCACCCCCAGGTTTCAGGAAGGTGGCGCTGAGGGTGGTGAGCATAATAAAGACACATCTTTCCTGGGCCACAGACAGGACCGCGGTGGACTCGGACTCGTTTTTCTAAGGCAGACGTCGGCACATGTTTTGGGGACCCCTCGCCCTCACTCCCCACAGCCCAGCTGCAGTTAGCGGGACGGCTCGGGCTCAGTGCAGAGTGTTGGACACGCAGGAGCCCGGGCCGTGGGCGCACCTTCATCAGCGTACACGGCCGGGTCCCATGTAGCTCCCCACAACTTAAATAGTCACACAATTATGGAGAAAATGTAAAGAAATAACCAAGAAATTATAAAACACCCACAATTGTTTTAAAAATCCATTTCTACATTTACATGAACTTGAATTTACAAAAAAACAATGGATAGCAATTCTCCTTAGAAGTGTTTATTTTGTTTTAAATATAAATTAGCCACAGATTCTTTCAATAATGAACACCCTCAGCACATTTTAGGTTTAATTCAATTTAAACTTCACGGGTGCTCTCGGGCACATGGTAATTACAAGCATCCACTCAGGGTCAGCGCTTTGAAAATCCGCTGCGAAATGTTGAGCCAGTCAGTTAGACGGAATTTCTACAGATGCCAAACATTGGAAAGTATCGTAATGATCGATTCCATTTTTCATTTTCCGTCTGAATGTTCTTGCCTTTTGTGGAGTAGATATTGCCACAGCGTCTATCAGCTTCCCCAACTGAGTGCAATTTAAAAGAAAATTATAATTACCAAATCCCCACACATGGGACTATTCGTTCACAAACTTGTGAATCATAAGGGTTCAAATAAAAGTCAAACTTTAAAGCGCTCTTTTTTCTTGTCCGTACAAGTTACATCAGAAAAGGCTGGACCCAGCGACCCTGCCGCTTTGGGATTAAAACGATCTGTTTTACTGTTTCCCATCACTGTGGTTTCAACCTGCTGACAGGCAGAAGGGACTTTCTTCACGTTGTGGGGTGTACATGAACTCGTCAGGGATACAACTAGGGTCCGAGTGGAACAGTCGCAGGAAGCGAGAGGCAGCACCTGTCAAATCCAGGGGGGCTGTTTCCATCCGACCTTCCTTAGACCAGCTGCACCCTCAGCCAGGCCTTGGATTCGGTGACATTTCGTTAGGGCCTATGTGAAGAAGGCCCGATATCAGCAACTCCGAATAATGCAAATTCTACGTACTTCCTGCCACGTATATTCTATACAGAGTTGCAATGTGATGTCAATCATTAAAATGTGTGAGGCAGTTAAAATATATTTCGATCTTAGTAAAGTAAATTTAAGGACAAAAATAGCGTCCTTCTTGAAGACGGGATCTCTTCTCACACTACGGTGCCCCCACTCACTCCACAGGGAGAAATTGACCCCCCACCCGCCGCCTCCCAAATCCTGCCGCTCAGATCGTGTCTGGAGCTGGCTGGAGTCACAACAGGCTCTTTACATCCCTGCTCTATTCTGATCACTTTTACTGGGTGTTGTTGTAAATATGTAGCCATGATTACACGTAGAAGGAAAACAATGAACACAGTAGTGAGACTCATCATTGCAACTTTCATCACTTCAGTGATGCCCCGTAGGAGAGTCAGGACAACGGATGCAGAGACCTCACACCCAACGATGCCCGGCGTCAGCAAGCTCGGCTGGCACCTGAGCAGGAGGGGCGTCCGTCTGTCCTGGGCGGTGTGCTCACACAGACGTGCCCGTCTGACCGAGCGGCCCCTGTCCCCACACAGAGTGGAACAGGAGGTCCTGCCTTCGTCGGAAGCTTTGTTTGTGTTGCATTTGTGTTTACGGTGCCTGTTTTCCCTGAGCGGGCTAAAGGCACCTCTTAAATAAGCCAGGGACGGGAACTGCCGCTCACCTGGGTG